TTTTGACATAGTTCATCACTTTTCCCCTCAGATTTTCTATATTTTCCTCAAATTTCAAGAAAAAAACTCCGATCCCAAAATTTAAAAGATCTGTAGGAATTAATCCGGACGGTAAATTTGAACGTAAAACTGGCTTTGCATTTGTCATGGATATACTGGTAACTGTTGATGTTCTGCTGAAACTTCGGTTTGAAAAAGGGGTCAGAGGAGTTTTTTATTGAAAAACGAACGATGATTGCAGGTAAAATTGGCCGATTTTGGTTTAGCTATTAAAATCAGCGAATCAAGAAATTCTTCACATGTTTGTGGAACACCAAATTACATATCACCACAGGTAGGATGCTATTTCCCTTTAGCATTTTATCAGAGGTAAATTATCTCCATGCGTGAAAGGTTCCTGGAAGATTTTCTGTTTTACAAAAACAGTGATTCTGTTCCGTTGCAAGTCAATGCTTTTGCTGTGCCGCTACTCGTTATCATGCTTACCATTGATGTTCGGAAGTTTGCTGATAAACCTAAGTCTCCTTTCCTTATCACTTGATCAGTTTGCCTGTATTCTTTGCCGTTTTGCCGCTTACTAATTACATTCGCTCCCGGGAACTTGTTGGATGATTTTCTGTTTTGGAAAAACCATGCCCTTTTTTTCTATCCTTTCATCACTGCGCATATATTCATTATCGTTGTATTGCTGACAGATTACCTTCACTCTTAGGAAGTGTTTTGGAAATTTTTTGAAATGTAAACTATGAAAGTTTTTTTGGCACTGTAGGCCAGCCAGTGAAAGGGACACAGTCGAATATTGTCAGTTGTGGGAAAGCAGTAAGTGCAAATTCAGATACCCAGATAAGCGAGCCTGTATGTGCATTTGTGGAACTTGCTCGGAGATTTCTATTCCAAAGAGCAGCTGTTTCTTTTATCACTCTACTTTTATCCTCTTTTCATCACTTTCACTCAGAAAAATTTACTCAACTGTATTTCTTGGTCTGGCTGTGCCATTGTTTTGAAATTACCAACTTTTCCAACTGCTTTGACCTGGCGATTTGCCTTGAGTTAGTTTTGGGTTTAAAACTTGCGATTTGATCACTAGTTTTCACATCTAGGTTATTGCTGCAAGGTATCCTGTTCAGAAATAACTGGGTCTCTTTCTTCAAAACTGGGATAGTCATGTCAGTTGCGTGAAAATTTATCATCGCTGTGCGTCTGTGCAGGTACTGGCACGTAAAGGTCATTCGAAAGAATCCGAAGCATGGTCCATTGGTTGTACATTGTACTGTATGCTTATTGGCAAACCACCGTTCGAAACAGATTCACAGGAAAGTACCTATTTGAAAATTGCTTCATGCGATTACTCGTTCCCACGCAACTTGAGAATTTCTGTCGATGCTGAAGATCTCATCTCGAAGTGAGTGATTTTCCGTATTTCAGAATATATATATATTTTTTTTTGTTTCTTTTTGCTAGGTGTATATAAAACGTATATATAAAAGTGTATATATAAAATGCTTGGATCAGCTGTAATTTTTAGTCCGTTTCACCTGGTATTCGACTGACAGATGTTCCATTTGCTTTGACTAGTGCTGCACTGCTTGGTGGTCAGCCTACTGCTGACCATTTGTCTTTTGTTTTTATGCGTTTTGTGCTGTGCAACAGCTGCACAAATTGCCACGGAGTGGTGTGTATACACACAAATTGCCACGGAGTATGTGTGTGTGTGTGTTTGTGTCCGACGCACTTTGTTCAGAAGGGAACACCATTTGAACGAGTGCGTGTTGAACTTCATTACTTCGTCTCGAAAGTTACCATTTCGGTGATATTTTACCGGCTGAAAGTTTAAATTTCTGTAAGCATGAGAAGGTGGAGCATATTATTCCACTTCAGGAAGTAGTGGGTGTTATCTAGAAGAAGGTACATGTACTGACATAACCTGTGCCCCACGATTAGCTATATCTCGATAGTATCAAGAACCCCATAAGGCTAAAAGTTCAGGATCCCCTGCTGGCATTGGTCAGCGGTGGGAACTTCGACAGATTTTTTATTTCAGATTGCTCCAGCTGGACCCAGTGCTTCGAATGAAAATAGGCGAAGTCAAGTACCACGCGTATATGTTAAATAGTGGCAAACTCAGGTACAATTCAGTTTGTATTTTTCAGAAAAAACCGCGAACATGCATCTTACTACTCGCAGTTATAGCGTTAAAAAAGTTGTGCTGAATTAATAATAAGCAAAAAAAAAAAAATCTCGTCCTTGGAATACTTGGTACGAAAAGTTGTAATTCACACAGAATAGCTGTCTTCTAAACACTAAGCAAAGTATCTTTGCTGAAAATAATTTTGATAGCTGATCAGCAAATCATAAATAATAATTCAGCGTTGTCAAAATCAAGATTGGTTCGTTCTATGTGGCTGTGAAAATCCACAAAAAGTGCGGAAATGAGCTTCAATTCTAGTTCAATCAACATTATTTAGGATGTCGGAATCATATTTGTCAGCTGTTAGGCGTCCTCTTCGAATGTCGGAAAAGCAGAACAAAGGCCAGGTTTGTTTT